TTGATGTACCATCTGGTATGTAAACATCATGAAGATGTAGTGTCTGATGTACCATCTGGTTATGTCAACATCATGAAGAGTTGGGTTTGATTGTTGTAAGCATATAGCTACTCAATGGGCCATCAAATCTAATCACTTGGAAATGCAATATCATCTTTGGTCAAAGAAATATGCAGTTCTAAGGGCCTGAAAAACTGTTTGAGCTTGAATGCTAAGTGATCTGACATCACTGGTTTAGTAGAAGATGCCTGCAGGGACAATCTTGCTTATCTGTGTCTAGGATGGTTAGATGTTCTGAAGTTAGGATTCCTAGTTCTCAAACTGTTCTTCAAAATTTGAAATATACATGTTGAGCAAAAAGTTTTCCATCTTCAACAATAGCCACTCAGACTGAGACCATACTAACTGATTAATGTTATTTCATTTTTTTTCAATTTCTTTGCAGTCATTATTGGAAGAACCAGCCTTAGCCATCTTAACTTACACTAAAAACGAGGACGAATTTCCATTCTAAATTGACAGTGTTTTTATATATATACACACACACACACACATGCAGTCAAATGACCATACATGTCAATGACACACAAAATGTAGCATCAACATGTTAGGATCCCTTTCTGTCCAATGATATCACATTACTATCCCTTCTTATTAAGATTTTTGAGAGGAATTAAACTCCTGATACTAATTAACTTTAAATGTAGTCAATACTACTTTTATCAATACGAATGACATTTTAAAAAGTTCTCCCATACCACAACGAAACTACCAAGATAAAAAAAAGAAACAATTAACAAAACAATATACGTTTACAAGTACATTGATCTGATGTTTTATCATATCCTATACTCCTAACACACATCAGCATTGGAATTCCAATGATAAAATGGCAGCCTGCAACAAACCTGCCAGTTGTGGGGCATGACACCTGGGGGAGGTATGTTAATGAAATTAAATTCAAGCAGTTGAAACACAAAGAAGAAACATCATAAGCACTATGATTGATCTAGATGGTGACTGCTCTAGATTTGCTGGAATCACAGTCTCTCGCTGGTTATAATTATGTAATCTACCATTACTACGTCCACCTTCAGGATTTAAATCAACTTCAAGAACATTGTTACACATCGTGTGGGAGTTATGGATGCATCAAGTCAATGTTATCGGGACATCTATGTAAAATGTGGAACAATGGCACTACAGAGTTTATTTTTTAAAAATCCTGAGCCCCAGAATTATCCAAACAGCTCCAAAAAAGAAGTGAGTATTTAACAAAATCATACGTTGATGGTGGGGGCTCAAGCTGTTAGTTTTCGTTGTCATCCAAGTCCCACTGTTCTTGAACAGAAGTCAGACTTTTCTGACCAATAAAAAGTACCTTTAGCTTCAGCCCAAATTAAAACAATTTCATTTGAAAGCTAACTTTAGACCTGTTGTTCAGAAAATAACTGATAACATAATATTTTTGAAAAAAAAAAAAGCTTTGAAAAATTATGCATGAACAGTGAGGTGTAAATAATGGTGTGTATGAGGTTGAACAAATTGTGAACAGTGAGGTGTAAGTAATGGTGTGTGTATGAGGTTGAACAAATCGTGAACAGTGAGGTGTAAATAATGGTGTGTGTATGAGGTTGAACAAATTGTGAACAGCGAGGTGTAAATAATGGTGTGTATGAGGTTGAACAAATCGTGAACAGTGAGGTGTAAATAATGGTGTGTATGCCGTTAAACAAATAATTGCTATACAGAGCAATGCTCTTGAAGATATAGATGTCAACTAGTCACAAGTTCATGTATATAGTCATTGTTATTATTCCTCCATTAATCGTTTCATTGTTTATCATTTTTGTATCTAGTGATAATTTATTTTTTGTCTTTTTTAACAGGTCTCACAAAACTCATCCAGACTATGTACTACATCTTATACTGTATACAGTGATAATTTATTTTTTACTTTTCTAACAGGTCTCGAAAAACTCATCCGGGTTGTGTAGTACATCTTAGTGATAACCCTGTTGATGCTAACAAGGTACAAATAGAACTATGTATATACTAGATGTATTTTGGAACTATTTTTGATTATAGTTTTAGATAAACCTAAATGAAATTTGCATATTTTTGATGTATCATCTTAGTGATAGTTAAGTAGAATATTTTTAAAGACAATACACAGAAAATAGTTGTCTTCGGATTAAGTAAAACAGTAATTTGTTCAACCTCATACACACCATTATTTACACCTCACTGTTCACGATTTGTTCAACCTCACACACACCATTATTTACACCTCACTGTTCACGATTTGTTCAACCTCACACACACCATTATTTACACCTCACTGTTCATGTTGAGAAATTAGTGAAACAATATCACTTACAATTCAATGGTTTTGTTCCAGTTGATGACATAGCCAGAGAGAATAAATGATTCACTGTTCACGATTTGTTCAACCTCATACACACACCATTATTTACACCTCACTGTTCATGTTGAGAAATTAGTGAAACAATATCACTTACAATTCAATGGTTTTGTTCCAGTTGATGACATAGCCAGAGAGAATAAATGATTCAACGTTCACCACATGAATGTTGCCTCGTTCTGTACCTATGTACAGCCACCTGCTCTGAAATGGTAGATGACAACATGTGATCCTAAAAAAAAATACAGAACTTGTAGTGCATACTGGAGGGATGGTAAAACATTGGCAGAAATAAGTTTTTTTCATTATTATCTGGAGAGTAATAGTTTTCTGTAACTTTATTGTCACAAACTTAAGTGTTCTGTTTAAAAATCAAATTTAACACAAACAAATACAATTCATGATTCATTTTTTTCTCTACTTATTGTACATAAAAACACTGTCAGTACATAAACCACCCACCTTTCTTTCTGAAATTTCAAAGAATGAACAATTTCAGGTCTTTTTTGTCGCAAATTCCACAAGTGTAAACTGTCGTCCGAACAAACACTGATCAGAGCACCCTGAAAATTAAGGATAAAATTAACATTGATTCTTGAACATACACTAGGTTCCCACACACACACACACAGTATTCATTATCCTAACATTGATTCTTGAACATACACTAGGTTCTCACACACACACACAGTATTCATTATCCTAACATTGATTCTTGAACATAGACTAGGTTCCCACACACACACACAGTATTCATTCTCCTAACATTGATTCTTGAACATACACTAGGTTCCCACACACACACACAGTATTCATTATCCTAACATTGATTCTTGAACATAGTGTAGGTTCTCACACACACACACAGTATTCATTCTCCTAATATTGATTCTTGAACATAGTGTAGGTTCTCACACAGTATTCATTCTCCTAACATTGATTCTTGAACATAGTGTAGGTTCTCACACACACACACACACAGTATTCATTCTCTTTATTAGTAGAGCTGCTATGAAACTTGATTTTTTTTTTAATTCAGAGTCAGTCATATGCGAATCTTAAGTCCAAACCAAAAGTTGCTCTCCCCCCCCAAAAAACAACATGTAAAAAAAATTCAATTTCATAGAATTTCACAAGATATTTTTTTATTCTAAAGTGGGTAGTATCTAAAAACCCACTAGAAACTTTTTTGTAATAAAATTACATCAAACAGGAAATGAGTGCATCAATTCAAAATTTAGTCAAACCAACTTAAAACTGACTAGCTATTTTTATTGTGTACACTCCTCTAACAAATGAAACACACTTTAAAACTTCCCTTTGATAGAAAATTCTCAGTAATAAACAATTTTGTGTGCAAGAATAGAATTATCCATGTTTCAGTAACATCATTCATAACTTCTTACATGGTGTAGCAAGTAACTAATATCAACTAACATGTGAAAGAAAATAACTGATAAGCTATTAAACATTCAGTGTCCAACTCACTGTGAAGGAAAACAAAAAATGCAGAAACCTTTGAGTTAGAATATTTTACTGATAACTATACAGTTTAGCAAACTTCTATAGAAACACTATTAGTATGAAGCTCAAGGTCATCTATTGTCTATGAATTCACACCTATACACACATGGTGATCGCACTCCAATTACTTTATTGCACATTTTTCATAACTTCTATCAAACACTATTAGTATGAAATTGAAAGTGTAGCTTGTGATAGTGCATTCCTCTTTCCTGTAGTTTACAGAGCTGCTTGTGATGGTACATTCCTCTTTCCTGTAGTTTACAGAGCTGCTTGTGATGGTTAAATGTAGTATTGGGAGTGTGATATTTTATCATAAATGTAGTATTGGGAGTTATGTGTGTTAATAAACCAAGCTCCTCATGGAACAGCTAAGGATGTCTGTGATTTGACAAGGCATGATTATTGGAAGTGTGATTCTTTCCCGTAACTTTAGCTGTATGTGCTAAACTAGTCTCCTCAAGGAAAGCTAAATTCCACAGTTTCACTCTGAGTAATTATCACCTTATGGTACAAAATGTGTATTGTTTCTAAAGGGTTATCTTTTAAAGACATTTAAGTGCTTTTTAAACTTATATCCAACCTACCTTGGACAGCTCTGTAAACTACAGGAAAGAGTAATGTATGATAAAGTATCACACTCCCAATACTACATTTGTGATAAAGTATCACACTCCCAATACTACATTTGTGATAAAGTATCACACTCCCAATACTACATTTGTGATAAAGTATCACACTCCCAATACTACATTTGTGATAAAGTATCATACTCCTATAGGTAAACAAGTTTCTTCACTTGGAAGAATGTTTTCTCTACTATAACATAAAATTTACCTTTTTTCCATTTTTATCATCTGTACAGTTAGTTCATTTGAGTATAACCATCCAACTTTCTAAGAGAAGATGTCTATTTGTGTTGGAAATTCTGGTAATGAAGCTCATTTTTCCAAGAGGGTTCAATACACAAAATAAACATTTATTTGAGCTGTCACAAATTACATTATAAATTTAAAGGACTAACATAAAATTGACAACAATACCAATTTATATATATTCAATAAAAGTTAACCAAAAATGATACATATATATGTATAAAAAAAGGAAAAAAAAAAAAAAAAGGTAGCGTGGTGTAGAAAAGAATAGCATCATACCTCATTTACAAGAAATAAAAGTTGGATCACTGCTGTGTCAAGTACATGTTGGACATGACAATCAACTCCAGGTCTTCCTAGACTGGTTGTTCCGAGTTAAGGTAACTACTTAGTTTTGAAATCTTTTACTGAAAAATCAGTCTTATGTGTGATGAAATATCACGATACATTTTTATACTGATTATCTATGCTACACAGCATAAAGAAATTCAATTACAGGTATCAAAGCTACTTTCTGAGTACAAATTTTAAATCACAAACTTCAAAAAGAAGAGTGACTTTCAAAGTAACCATTAAACTACCTTACTGGTGGTAGTTTGTAGTGTGTACGATTATTACGGTAACTTGAACTTCAGTTATTCTGATGAAAGCAAAAGTGTTAAAAAAGTGACATTACTTTTTTCAATACGAGACTCTAATCAATCTTTAACTGCTCTAACATACAGATTTTTTTATTTGTTGTAACACCAATGTCTTCTATGTCTGAAGCTCACTCATTCAGTGTCAGTACATACTCAAGAATTAGAATGTTTGTTAAACATTGTAAAGTCATTAGTGCATGTGTTTGAATTTCAGGTAATATATATACAGTAAAGACGAACATCTCTCTCTCTCTCTCTCTCTATCTGT